CCAATGGCATTCTACCATTTGTATTTAAGAAAAAAGGAGATTTTATTCATAACCCATTAACTTAACTCTTCCAGCAGTTGCTCGAGACAGGGGAAGTGCTATTGGACTGGAGAATTGTTATATATTGTTAAACACTGTCTATACTTAAAAAGGGTGATAAAACTAAACCAAGAAATTACAAACAGTCTATACTGCAATGTTATGGAAACAATTATTAGTACTAAACTATAGGATGACCAATATGGAATTCTTTGAGGAACAGTATAAGAACTGAACGTAAGATAGGGTGTATTTACATTTTCAGAAGGCTTTAGATAAAGTTTAATTCTTAAAATTACAGGCGGCAAGATTTTGGAAAAATGCACGTGTTTAAAAACTGGTTAATAGAAAATTGAGTGAAGATAAGAGGTGAATGCTTCAACTGGGACGGAAGTAATTAATGGAGTACCACTAGGATCTGTACTAGGGCCACCGCTTTTCCTACTTTGAATCAATTATCAATCTGATGTATTTGTCAACAAACTTAACTGATTTACTAATCTCAAAACAACATGATTAATAACCACTAGAAGCACCAAATGAAATTCAAAAAGATGTAGCTAGAATTGCGGGCAAACAGTAGTCAGATGTTACATATTGTGTTAAATGCAGATAGTATAAACAAACTAGAAATACAAGATGCAACACTTTGAGATTTAAGAGAGTTTCAGGTTTATGTTTACATCATTTACATTTTCTAGACAACATAGGAAAGAAGTAAAAAAGCATACAAAATGATATTCAGTCAGAAACATAGAACTCAAATCAAGGGATGTTATGTTAATATTGTAAAATACAAAAGTTACTGGTACTGTGAAATCAGTCAAGAAAAGAACAAACAGATACACTCTGGCATTCAAGTGATTGTCCTAAACTGATAGGCTGAAAGAACCTAACCTTTTTAGTCTTCATCAGAGAAGAAGAAGACCTGATTCAAATGCTCAAATTCCTCAGACGCATTAATTTGAAATGGACTACTTCAGAAAGAACAGTGAATCACAAACCCGAGACCTCCTCTTACTTAAAACCTTTTTAAAATTCAGTTCTGAAAATGGAACAAACCTGCTCTTAATTTTCATTTTTGCCCTTGGTTGTTGGTTTAATTACTTGAAGCTTGAACAACCCTTACTTACTGTTACAACCTCAGGTTTTTAAATCCATAACAAATAAACGAACTTTCAGAACAGAAATTGATCTGGACCTCTTCTTCACAATATGTCTAGAATATATCTATCCTGCCTGGAGGATGAATAGCTAAACTCTACAAAATATTCCAAATGAAGTATTATTTTTTCATTAGAGTAAATTTAATTTATTTGAATATTCACTCATTTTTGGCCTTCTCAATGGATTCTCCAAGCTATATAGATTACAAGTTTGAAAACATTTACATTCGAATGCTTTTCATGGACCACTTCCTTTATTAACACTATTTTAAAATAACATACATTCTGGTTTCTTGCATTCAGGACTCTTTGAACCTGCAATACAATAATTTCCTAGGCTTTTGCCTTTTGCTAGGCAACTCAATAGTGTCTAAAAATGTTTCACTATGGGCCTAGAACGGTAGCTTGCAATGTTGACTAACTAGTAGCCTATATTATGTAAAATATGTATTAAATAAGAAGTGTTACTTCTTAAACCTTTGCAAACAGTAATTACAATACTCAGAAAAAAAATACTCACAGACTCTCCAGCCTTGCAACGCAGACAGAGCTGTACGAATCCGCCATCTTCAGATGCATACCTCTGATAAAATAACATAGAGATGAGGTATATTAAAGATATTTCCCTGGCATTTAAGAAAGCACAATATACATAATAAAACACTATATGTATGCTAACGACTAAACTAATGTTTGCAGAGTTACGGATTGTATTAATAAATTAAAACAGATAGTAACTGTGTTAATAACTAATGCCTATTTTATTGTTAAAGAACAAACATACTGGAAATACATACAACATAACAAAGGAGAAAAAAAGCTGATGAGAATAAAACACTTGAATTACAAAATAAAAAAGCAAAGGAGACATAAAAATACCATTCTTTCAAAGGACAGTCAACATAATGCCTTCAATAATACACAACATTATGGCTCTCTTTGTATAACATACAAAGCAGAAAGTAAGCTTCTCAGTTTTGAGTCTGGCATTTAGCATTAAAGTTAAAATTAAATGGGATTATATACAAGTGGATCACTTGTCACTCTTTGTTTCCTATTCCTTTCTGCAACAGATATATTAGAAGAGAAGGGAAAAGGTAACTGGGGTCAGTTTCATGTGCCTTTCATATTAGCCCATTTCATAGTGAACCCCTTGGGTCCAGCCATACAAATTCCACATATCTTTTTTGTAGAGAGGAAACTGATTTGAACACCTGATATTTCCACCAGGATAAATTGATTTTGTTTAGGGTGCACACCAGTTAGATTTGAATATAAAAAGTTAGGGGTTTGGTGTTTTTTCATGCACAAATTAGGCTTTGTCGCTCTTGCTACTTGTCACATATAGCACTTTTGAGAATTTTAAATTAAAAACGCAATGCACACATTTTCACAAGCTGCAGTGGGTGTCAGTCATAATACATGACCGAATCAATAACATTTATTCGAGGTGTTTAGGTATAAATGAGAAATAAGATGCCTGAAATATGCACGTACTGTAAAACGACGTGAAAACTTCTCCTACCATATCAGAGGTCTGGGTGGAGGTAATACAGAGGAAGGCAGTGCAGTTTGGATTCCGTGACCGAGGAAGAGACTGCTGCTGATGCATGTCCCAGGTATCCATGGGACTCTCTGTTAACTGTGTGCTCACAGCGCCATTTTCAAACTGATTACAACTTCCAGACCCACTGCAAAACCGCTTCTGGGAAAGGAGTCAAACAAAGCACGGTAACCCTTAGCAACGTGTTTGCCTTGTGTTGTTATTGGTAGCTATAAGTAACATTTCAGTTCTTACAAATGCTTCAAATAATTCAAGACACTGCCACTGTTCACTGAATGAAATAAATGTCCACTCTTCCGAAAAAAAAAGATGCACTCTTGGCATTGAAATAGAAATATGCTGTCATTGACCTAATGCTGTAACAACCCAGCCTCAGAATTAATTTATAATACAGAGCACGTTTGATGCCGGCTACTATACAAAGACGGTGTTTTGAAGGGGAAAAAAGGCTGAACAGAAAACTACAGCCTCTTTTTTAAAAGTAAAAAATGGTCTATTTTGAAGCTAAAAAACTAACTACACGCACACTTTCAACTGCTTCAAGTGTAACAGCTACAATTAACCATGATAAAACCAGTTGTGCTCACATGATATGAATGATATGATATGAAAAGGGACTAAACATTGCCAAGTTATTCTGGCAGCACCACCTTTAGCACTAAAAATAGTCAGCAGATATTTCAATGCAGTGTCTATCACAAGAGGAGGCACATAAAGGTCATACTACAGTACATATCCAGTTTGTAACTAACACATCAAGTGCTTGATTCTTCGAAGTATAAACATTGTAGCAGCCGGGCGCTACGTACTGTAAATCCACCTTACATGTACGTCACCGATTGGCTTTCCCACCGGTTGGCGAAACACGCTTATGTTGCATGTCCTGACTTACCGTCTGGTTCACATTTACATCAAGATCCTCTTCGTGGCGGCGTTTGTTCTGTGCTGGAACCATGCAATCCATCGACATTGCCATCTGATCGTACAAATCAATTATTTTCAGGCAAAGTAATAAAAGTTAAAAAGCGATCCCAAGGATAAGAGAACATAAACGATTGGATATTTTTATTTAAAAATATAAAGTAAAATAGCATATGGTTGGGATTGTACGCTAACCATTCATTTCCATCATCAGTAATGCATTTCAGGTCTATTACCCTTCACTATAGTCCATCGGATACAACCTTGAGAGTTTTCTTCAGTTATCTTTTTTTCCGCAGCGGGAAATCACGTTACACAGAGCACTTCATTAGTACAGGAAAGACAACAACCTATCAAAGGAGACGCTAACCAGAAACGTCAGGACGTGCACGCCATACTTCTGAGGGGCAAGACGCGGTGATAGTTGAGTAACTGGGACTAGAACATATTTTGTACATATTAAATATATTTACGTTTAATAAAATAGTAATAAGATTTAATAAGATATTTAATATTTTCTGTAGCAGTTCAGGCGAAATTCATTAGTTTCCAAGGGAGACTACAGTGAATAAACATGGTGAATAGAAACTCATTGCAATCCAAGTATACTATAACTTTATATACCATAATTTATAAAATACTTGTTCATAACATTAACCTGAAATATCTGCAATAAATAATTGTCTCTTTCTACTAAGTTAAAAAAGTTTCATTTTGCTCACGACCTGATGTTAATGTCTAAACATAAGTAGCTCAAAGTGTTAATTGACAGCATCATTAAGTAATTTAGAATAAGTCTAAATTAGAATAGAATATGTGATAATGAAATCATTACTGATATTTCAACTGAGTGGTCAATTAACAGTGTGATTGTAATCTAAACTATATGGTATGTAAAAACTATTTTTAAGCAAAGTTCCAGAAATATTACGGCTACCTGTTATATTTTTCAAAAGTATAATTTGATTAAAGAAGAGAATACAGTCCTTTATTGTAGGTATTTTTAAAGTAAAATGTAGTTATTGATTGGTATCTGGAACCCTAAATTTAGTAATTCAAGATTTTATCAAAAAGAGAATATAAAGCTCATAGCTTGGGCTACAAGGAAATCTAAGGGAAACAAATCGACACCTATGTAAGAAGAAATATGCACCATCTAGCCAAAAAGATACACGTTTAAAAAATATTTCGAATGTGTAACATTCTGAGAGGCTATATTAATCTTCAAGTATTGTTTTCTAATATCCCTCAATGATAGAATTGAATGTTTCCTTATCCTCGGGTGCTGTTACTAATGCCTTGTTAACTCAAACTGTAGTTCGACTCCTGTTCGATTAGTTCAGTCTGTCAGCATGGCGAATTTCGTGCAAGCCACTTCTTCGCAGCAATTTGAAGATTTGTTAAAGAATGCAGGAAAGTATGTATCCAGATTTACATGATTACCTGATATGTGTGAAAGCTGTGAAATGTCCATTCTAAAATAGCTGTAACTGACATTGTGTGATTTTAAAGTTTTGGCTTAGTAAAGCAGTGCATAGTCACAGTCTGAAGGCTACAGGAAAGTCACGGAAAAAGGCATTGTGTGTACGTGCAAAAATATATTAAAATATTCGAAAAGTATGTTAATTAAAATAACCTTAGAATCGTTATAGCACTAGCCTTTTAATTATGTTTGTGAAAGTGTTAATATAAAATAAAATATCGATCTCTTTGGATAAAATAACACAAAGGGGAACTTGCTTACAATATAAGAAAAAAGCTTGTTCTTTTGTACCAGAATAAATTATGGTGAATCGGGGCATAGTGTTTCGCCTTTGTGATATGGATTGATGATCTTAATACATTTTGCATCACAAGCAACATCTTACAGTTGTCTTGGACGAACCTACTACTTGACAGGCCTGATGCTCGGGCCGCGATTTCCCGGACTGCGACAGAAAAGCCATTGTGTTTTCTGTCTCGGGATATGTCCGTAATGTTTTAGTATTTATGGGATATACGGAGAAATAAGAATATAATTTGTTGAGAAACTGTAATTGAAAAGTAAGAGACGTTAATTCCACGCTAAAATATCCTTTTTACATAACCTCTGCTCGTTCCTGTAAAAAATGAATGTACTGTAAAATGTAATAGTTTTGTAATCAACGTTTTATTTGCATTTGCTCTGTTAAATCAAACAGAAAGGAACAGTATCTAATTTATGTATATGTTAAACTATTTTCACATTTTTTAAATTATTTTTTTTTAAATACCCATTTGTCATTTTAGGACTGCGGAGTACCTTAATCTAAAGAAAAGTGTAGAGTCTGTAACCTTCACGATAAAAACTCTTTATTTTGAGTTAAAATAGATTTATTGTATTTTTTTTGTTTTTTTTAAAGTAAAATATTTTGCATAAAGAGGCAATTTTACAATTGCTGTTGGAAAACAATATATTTAATTATACAGATTTCTGTTTGGGCTCTGCAAATTTCTGTCCTGAGGACCTGTGGGAAGATTGTTTTCACTGCATCAGTTTTACAGTAAAAAACAGTTTATGTGAGAGCTTGGGTGGGTGGTGAAAAAAGTATTTTAGGAGAGAAAGAGGTGTTGGATCCATGGGACTTGTAAGCAAACAAATCCCTCTGTAGTATAAAAAATGACAATAAACCTGTCTAAAAGATCTGAGCTTTTGTAAATGTGCATATGTATACTTTAATTTTGTTGTCTTTCCTGCCAGGTCTCTGGTGGTTATCCATTTCCTGGCATCATGGGCTCCACAGTGCACCCAAATGAATGATGTGATGGCAGAGATAGCGAAGGAGTATCCACAGGTGACATTTATAAAGGTGTGTATAGTATTGAAACCTACCATTGCCTATTTTCAGCACTCTAAATGCACACTGTTATACTGTTACAATGTATATTGATACATTAATGTATCACAGTTTATGCCTTTTGTGATATTACCATAACCGTTTTTTCTTTCAATTTTGTGTATTTGCTGTATTTGCTAACCATATCACAATAGGCCGACTTTCCATTTAATGTGTCACTCACACCAGACCCAGGCCAGATGTTTTTTTCTTTTACAAGCACTTAATTTCAGGGTCTTGTCTATTTTTCACAATCCTTACAAGCTTATTTTTCAACATTTAGAATAAAATGTACGGTTTTGCATATCTACATTTCCCTGTAAATTCATTTCTCAATTCTCCATCTGATCTCTGGTGTTATGGGGATGCTGGCTCATAATGACTGCCTCCTGTCCCCTATGTAGATTTTACACTCCCTGAGCCCCACAGTGCCTTACAGGAGAGCTTGCACCAGTGGGAGGCATGATGCAGCTCACACTGGCACTACTTAGCATGCAGCAAGTATAACCTAGTTAATTAACAAAAAGCTGGGCACTGCTGCTTTGGAATACCTGTTTACAGTCAGCAAGTGACGAAGTCTATATACAAGCTGGCAATTTCTGAGCTCTGGTTTCTGTTCTGACCAAGCACCTTTACCGAGTGAGCCACTTGTGTTTCCATCTCCAAAAGCTTTTGGCTCCAGACTATGCTGGTCTTTTACATAAATAAAATGGAACTTTCATTGTGTGCCTAAACCTTATACTAAACGGACAGGTAAAGGTTTATATTCCATGCTGAAAAGAAAAGAAACAGAACGATTCGCCATGGATCCTACACCAGTGGTGAAAGTGTAAAGGAGGTTCCACAGCCAAAACGTTGTTTGTTTTCTTTTCAGCATGGGATAAGCCTTTACGTGTCCCTTTGCAGTGTGCGCATGCTGCCGCAGCTACCTACTTAAACATTATTACAGTTGGTCCAAAGTAATTTTTCCCTCTTTTTGAAAATAGATAATGTTATTTGAAACTAATGGTAAACCTATTCCTTTGCTCGTGTCGCATAGTGAAACAAAGATAAAACATTCTTGTGAGGAAGTGCTTAATGTGCACAGAAGCCGTAGATACAAGTTTAAGCAATATTATAGTGGTAGTCGCTTACTGTTTGTTAAAAATGTACTTGTTAGACTTTTATTCTTTTAAGAACCAGAAAAATATAGGGCCTCCAACGGTAGTATAACAAGGAGGGTGTTTTAGAAGAATGGAAGTCAGTGTCTTACTTGATAATGTAAGTCATACTCTTGAATTTTTTTTTTGCTACAAGTAAACTGTTTTTAGGAAGTTCAAAATTGCTTTTGGTGCTCTAATGGCTCTTGTTACTTTTCTAGGCACAAGGCTGAACCTGGCCTTTTTCAAAAGTGATCTGCCAGCAGTTCAGGATTGGTTTTTGTAATTTAAAGTGAACACAGGTCACTGATTGATTGATCTGTATTTTTTTTTCTGCAAGGTCTGCTTGATACCAGCAACCCAGCTATATAATTTTTCATTTTAATAGATTTTCTGCCCCCCAACTCTACCCTTGAATTCTTCCTGCTCTATTCAAAACTCATAAAGTCTTCTCTTTCTTTGGCCCCAGAGGACCTGGTTGCACTGGGCTACTGGCTTTCTCTGACCTTGCCTGCTAGTATGGTCTCATTATCTATTGAGTTAGGCACAAGGATAAAGACCTGTGTCTCCCCTACAGTGATCGGTACACACTGTCTTAATAATAACAGTCTTGCAAATCCTCTGATTTGAGGTGTCAGTTTCTCAGATTGTATGCACATAAATACCCTTAAGCTGTTCAGCTGAGGAAGCTCTATGCCATGTAGAGCATGTTTGATATGTTTATCTTTACATTTCTGTTATTAGCAACTCATATTTTTCATTGTCATTTTTTTTTGCTTTGCATTTTTACTTCACTGCTGTCAAAACTGCAGAGAATACTTTCAAACTGTATCCTCCTTATTTGCTTTCAGTACACACCAGAACATTTAAGTTGTATCAGACACTTTAAAAAAATATTTTGGCATGCATGGTTAGGTTAACAACAACCCACTCAGTCTTTTTGTGCTGATATTTCATCTTTGCAGGAATATGCCCAACATTGATTTAGCAGCAAAAAAACTCTCAGTTACAAATTCATTCAAACTTTTCTTCTTCCTTTATATCCTTTCTGAAATTGAGTAGACCTGTACTATATTGGACTTTTAGTATCTAACATGCTTATAGAGATATGTCTTATAAAATATGCTTCAGTATAAGAGCTCACAAAAATATGTATTGGCCATCATTACATTATAGCAAAAATTCCTATTTTTGCTTTATAATCTTAGATTTCTTGTGTATGTGTGTGTCACTTATGATGTACTGGTCCATGGATTTTGTCAATAGAGCAAACAGCAAGATTTGCTAGAGGCGGAAAATAAGTGCTGTAATCATGACATAACTGGGGTCAGTGATTTATGGATTTCAATATCTGGTAGCTAAATACGATTGAAAATTTACTGGGTCAGTAGTGCATCAACATTTTCGTTCTGTGCCTGAGGGCATTTCTTGAAATGTGTAGTAAAATAAAAACCTCTGAACCCATTTTGACATTGCACTCACTGCAGGTAGGGCAAAAAATGATGCAAAACCTCATATAACCCCTGCATAAAAAAGCACATTTTCTGACTGTATATATTATATTTTGTGGAACAGTAATATGTATTTTATAAAACACCTTTCATGACAAGTAATCACAAAGCACTATACAAATCAAACATAAAATCCAAAACCAGATAAAAAGAGGATAAATATTTTTGCATTTACATGAACAGAAAAACAAGTCTTCAGAAACAGGTTGAAATTAAGAACAATTCAATTTTGAAGTGAATGCAATCAGGCATGTAAATATTTTAACTTATTCACCTCACAGATTTATGTCTGTTTATTGCCCATTGCAGTATTCCCTGATAAATACCTATGTGATCTCTAGATATACAGGAATATTTCTGAGTTGTTTTTAGAAAGAATGTAAGTGCTGTCTTCCTTGGGCTGAGGGTGAAATACTTTGTGCTTGTTATAGCATCTTAAATCCTTGTTTTTCCTCCTACAGGTTAACCCTGTATCAGATAAGTGAAGTGTTCTGACTCCATTCATCTCAGTTTGAAGAGAACTCCTGGTTGGTAATGAGAACAAAAACAAACTTAACATCATTTTCTTTTGTTTTCCTGGTAGCTGGAAGCAGAAGCGGTACCTGAGGTATCTGAGAAATATGAGATCACTTCCGTCCCCACTTTCCTTTTCTTTAAGGTAAGCTTTCAAATATTTAACCTCAATGACTCAAGTGGAACAGTTACATATTTTCTTTGAGAAGATGCATTTTCTCTGAACATAAAATTCAACACAGAACATCTTTTTGTGTTAATAAACATCCGTTTGATAATTTTTTCCACTTATTACATGCACTCTTTCTTGATGTGAAGCATATTTAACACTTTAAAGTTGGGGACATTAGCATTTAAAAATCTATTAATGTTAAATGTACTATAAATCAATATTCTGTAGAAAGTTCATAAAGCAGCCTTAAATACTACAGCTCCAAATCCGACCTTAACTATACCACAGTACTACTTAATAGCTGTGGTTTCTTTAATAACACTGTACAGAACCTCACTTTGTAGAAAATAGGTGAATTACAGGAGGTCTATTAAAGTGTCTTTTATAGAACTTAATCTGAAATGTGCTTGGAGTACCTGGAGTCTGGATTAGTGAAGTGACAGCCTTCTCTGAGCATTGCCTATGGATAACTCATCAGATTATTCCTTGTCCCTTCTTCATAACAATTACAGCTCAGCGTGAACAATAAAACGTAACCATAAGACTGTCAGAACAATTGTCAGTGTCGTTTTCTGCTGCTGCCAGAACTGTGAGAAGATTGACAGGCTGGATGGAGCCCATGCCCCGGAGCTGACCAAGAAGGTCCAGCGCCTGGCGTCCAGCCCCGCGGTTCCTGCCGGATCTGGGGCTCCCACTAAAGAGGATCTTAATGAGCGTCTGAAGAAGCTGATCAATGCCGCACCCTGCATGCTTTTCATGAAGGGATCCCCCCAGGAACCCCGCTGTGGTAAATACATCCTAGTGTCCGTGTGATAGTAGGGATCCAGCGAAACGCCACAGGGTACTAATCTGATTCGCTGTTTTAAGAAAGCCCAGTTGGTATAGACCTATAATGCATAACTGCATTCCTCGAGGGCAACATGTTAAAAATTAAAGGTACCTCTAAATAACACGCTGCTAAGGGTCTGGAAAGGCGGAGGGAAAGTTGACCAAAGAAATTATCTCGGTCAATTAATTTATTGATCAGCAGTGGAATTAAAATCTTGCAGTAAATAAAAGTGACCATTTTAAAACAGTATATTTAATTTATCTCATCTTTAATTGAGATTTTACTGCTTGTTGCAGTATAAATGTCTTTAACTGTGCCTATCAATATTTGCCAGTGTAACAATTTATTTTTCAATTGCGAGGTACACGCAAGCTCCAGAAGATAAAATTGCTCTCATGAACAGAAACTGAAATAGAGAGAGTATATTAGACGCATCACAGCTGGAACAAAGCGTATTCATTTGAGGCTTGATAACCACAAACTGGGCGAGTCAAAAAGGAGAATAAAAATAAGATCATTAATATTACATCAGTGTAATGTACAAGTCAAGCACAAGTATATTACAGGGTATTGAGTCAGCTGCAAAATGATGGTTGGAGAATATCCTGTGGATGCATATGTGTAGCTGAACTGCTTATTAGTGATGCATTTGGTTGTTGTTGTTTTTGTTTTGGTCTAGAGAGGAATTCTATGAAACACAGTATGGCATTCTGTTTAGCATTTCATTGAGTTCAGAGCCCCCTATGGTTATATTGAAGTAGTTTACAATTTCCTCATGGAGTGAAGCCAGAGTTTTATTTTTCTGTTCACACACAGATATCTAATCAGTGTGTTCTTCAGATGAATTTAGTTCACCCTTAATTCAGAAATTCTCAGCTTTAAAAATATTTGGAAACATTTTTGAATATAATTTGTGCTAGGTTTCTTTGATTTAATTTGTGTGTGTAAGAAAATCTTTTTTTCCTTAGCTTTATTGCTAATGTAGGTTTGTTGCTTTAGCTTTCTAGTTCTCCCAACATACAGTAAAGTATAAGTATAAGATAATTCTGGTTGTGCTGTAGCATACACACACACCTTTAAAGTGCATTAGATTCATGAAAACGCTTGTTGGATGAGGAGCAAACATTGCTCTCGTTTAAATGTCTTCAGCATTTTTCTTCCAATTTTTAAACTGATGTTTTCAGTATCACTGTATCCTTTTTTCCTAAATATTCCAAACTGGTAGTGACATGATCTCAAAAGAAAGTAATGAAAATTTCATTTATGAAAGTGTCTTAATATTATGCTGTCAGATATGCAGGAGTTTTTCTGATGAATGCTTTCATGAACATTTTAAAGGAGCTTTTTACTTTATGCACTTAGTAAACCTTGGAATCAGGTAGAGGTATCAAAGAGTTAAATATGAATAGTTTTTGTTTTTAATGTTTGCATAACAGAAGTTTTTTTCTCCATTATTTTAAGAAATAAAGCTTTAATGCTGCTTATCCTGAAGCAGAACGTCTGCAGTGCGCATCCCTGACCCTTAAAAAACAAAACACCTCCAATCAATCTTCCTTGTCTGGTAGATGTTGCCTACAGCCAAAGAAAGCAGCTGGACTGCTTGTTTGCCTGGTGTAATAGAAACAAGTTAATATATTGGCAACTGAATAACCATCAGCATCCAGCCTCTAGCTGTTTTATAATGAATTCCCAGATGAATGGCAAATATCAGAATCAGTATTTTACTGCAGGCTCTACATGAAGTTAACACTTCACCTTACTTTAGAGAACGAAGGGAAAAAAATCACTCCTTGGAACTGCACACCACAAATATAAATAAAACACATCACTTTACATCATAGATGAAGACAAGGGCATGTAGAAGCTCATATTTAACAATGAAACCCCATAGCAAATACGTTTACCCAAAGGGCCATAACACACCAGTGAAGCTGCAATGCGAAGAACATCAAAGTTATTTTCTTCTGCTTCTAAGGTTTTCTTTAACATGAAAGTAAGGTGTCAAGGTACCTGCCATGGAGATTAGTATTTGATTATAAGAATTATATCTTTAAAGCCAAGGAAGGTCAATTTAAATATAATGTATATAAAATTATCATTGTGTCAAGTTTGGTATTGTTGTGAAAATAAAGTCTTGACAATACAGCATTTTAGAAATGGATTTACTATAAAAAGGTCATTCTTAATTCTAGTAAAACTAGCATCATTTAGCTATCGTAATATGATTTGGTCTGCTTAATTTGGTTGTTCTTTAATTGGATTGACTATGACCCTTGATCAATAGCATCTTTGAGTTTTTTAAATGAAAGTTTGCAAGGCAATGACGATGACAACAGAGTTATCCAAAACATTTGTATAAAATAAAGTATACAAATTACATGTTCTTACTTTCTAACCTTTTTTAATAATCCCATCACTAAGTTGTTTTATGTAAAGTTATTTAGTAAACTGAAACAGAGGTATATTTCTTCAATTGGGAACATTTTTTCTTCTCATTTGGCTCTGGATTCTTCCCATGTCTAATGGATCAAGGCAGCCATTGTAAATGTGTCTTAAACTTGGAATGCATTTAAAACCTATGCTTGTTTTGGCTGTTCTTCCAGAAGTCTGGAGCTGATACTCTTCTGTGTTTAAGGGGCAACTCTAGAAACATCAGCTTTACACTTAGATCCTAGCAGCCTGCAAGAATTTAAAAAAATAAACTACAGTAAACAACAATAAATACAAAATAAACAGTATGCTTTGTGGCTGTATAGCTAAAGTAGGCGATCTTATACCTTGAAGATTTGTGTATATTGTTGTGAGAAACTTTCCTTCTTCACGTTACAGGATTCAGCAAGCAGATAGTGGAGATTTTTAAGCAGAAAAACATTCAATACAGCAGCTTCGATATCCTATCGGATGAGGAAGTGCGGCAGGGACTCAAGACATTTTCCAATTGGCCCACTTATCCTCAGGTTTACGTCAACGGGGAGCTAGTGGGAGGACTGGATATTGTAAAGGTTTGTACAGGAGAGGGGGGAGCAAAGTGCCAGAGCACATTATGCGCTCAGACTGTTGCTTATTTGCTCTTTTCATTGTTTTATTCCTCTTCAGTAGCTCTACATTCCCTCTGAGGCAATTTCCACTTAAAGACACAAGGTCTCCTGCTGGGGTAGGTGGGCTGTATCAGCCAGGGGCTTCCCCGTGGCTAGTTCCCGCTAACACATGCTCACCATCTCCATTTAATAATTACTGTAAGGGCTGAAGTTGCTTTAGATTGCCCCTCCTTCATTAGGCAAATTGTCCACCTGTGCAGTAAAGAGAGGAGCCCTGCTGTGCTGTGCTGTGCTGAGACGGGGGATTTTGTTCACTTTCTCTCAACACGCAAGGCTCCACCTTGCCGTGTGAGATAATAATTATGTAAACAGCAGTGCATTTTATAAATGGTTCTGTTACTGAGTGGGGACCTAGTTTCTGAGTTATTTTTATTTCTGTTCTAGGAACTTGCTGAATCTGGAGAGCTTGAGAACACCTGCCCGAAGGCAGTAACACTAGAGCATAGGTAAGAAGAAAAATTTCATGTACACACTGACAAATTAAAAAGCATAAATAAAACCTCTACAAAGACTGAGCTCATTCTCTCTTCCAATAGGTTAAAGGCTTTGATAAACAAGGCTCCAGTAATGCTGTTCATGAAAGGAAGTAAAGAGGTATGTTTCATCATTGAGGAGTTCTTTGTGTCCATCACGAAGCAATATTAATTCCTCACACAGCAATTATCAGCATCCTGTTTTTTTGCAAATTAATGAAGGTAATATGCAAAATATATATTCTTGAACTAAATCTACATAATTGCCTTTTATATTTTATCTGTTAACAGTACTGTGTTAAATTGGTTTGCTTTCACTCTCCCATGTATGTGGAACAGAATGACCTCTCGATTTTGTATTTATAATTAAAGTGTCCTCCAAACTTTTTCATACTCCCTATAAAATGGGTTGTATAATATGTTCTGTTTTTAAAAAACTTCTAAAAATGTTAAACTGTAATCGTAATAGCAAAGTCCCATTAGCTCTAAATAATTATTTTTTACCAGAAAACACAAGGATCCCATTTATTCATGCCCCTGTAGTTAGCATTTTGTAAATGCTCCTATGGCATGGATTATATTGACACGACACCTAGTGTAGTATGTTATGAGGTCTTGGTAAAACAGGCTCTCCCTGAGCAGACCCACATAGACTTTACAGTGCCACACAGGATCCTGCACATGTCCCACACAAGTCTGTTTCCCATCTCTCACTGCTTTCTGGGGATTGTAGTTCAGCTCAGAGCTGCCATGTTCCTGCTGCCCTTGCAGCATGTCATTGTAGATTTTTAATGTTGGAATTTATTTAAGGACTACTTAGTGGTGTGAATAAATGTTACCTTCCCATGTTCTGGAGTTAAATTATGGCAAATTGACGGTTCTATGCCGTGCTGTTATGATTAGACTGTACAGTGATACAAGTCATACTGTACCTGCTATTTTTGCTTTGTAGTCAAGCAATTTATAGTTGTAATCATGAGATAGATAGAAAATTAAGTCCTTATGATTGACTTGACCAAATTTGCCACTTTTTTATGAGAAACTCATCTTTTGCATTTGCCAGGTTTCAGGTCACTTTCATGCTGCGTAAAAAAAAAATATGCATGCTGCGTTAATAAGAATGGAAACATTTTCTTCCACATACACACACAAAATGTTTCTGTAAATGTTAAAATTCCTTCTGCTACTGCCATCATTGGTTACATCATCAATAAAGATGTGAGCCAGATGGTCATGTAGGTTGAGGCACAGACAGCGCTTCATAGATATAGTGGAAGCCTTTGAGTATATGGAGTTTTTTCTACACACTAACCTTCTATGAGATTCATAAAAGGGTTATCTTGGGTGTCATCTTGTTCCCATTTAAAACTCTCCTGGGTCATCAGTATAATTCTGAGCTAATCCTCAGGTTTTCTGTTTTGGGGGTTGATGAGAGGTTTACTTCTACTACACAGTTTATTAACAATGCATTGTGATAGCTTCACCCCTGCACTTCGGAGGTCATTGGCTATTTCACTGACAGATGTTTTTATGTATTCCTGATAGCTCTTATAATTTTTCTGTTGTCAGCTGCAGATGTTTTTCTTGGCCTATTTGTTTTCTATACCTGTGGTTAATTTCTACATTTTCAGTATATTCCAAATTGTTGATTTTCCGTCCTATTCTTTTGGGTTTTTAACATTATCTGAATTATGTAGTCTATAATTGTATGTATAATTATATAAAAATATATAATTGCACTGTATATATTTTATGGAATACAGATGAAAGAATTTCACAGTGGTAGCATAAATGTAATCCCTTGTGTCTTCCAACTTGCTACTCCTTTTTGATAAGGATCTCTATTCACTTTTGCCAGCCACTTCTTAAAAGACAGAATGAAAATGGATTCTTAGATGGCAATTGTAAATTTAACCTGATACATCAGAGGCTTCAGCTTTGTTATTCCATTTGCAGTTTCTGAACAGTCTATCTTTCTGTTATCTTGAATGATTTTTAGATCATGAGCTCTGTGGATATTTATCATTCTTGAAGTGGTTTGGTATATTTTGAAAATAAGAGACTTCATTTCTGTATCATGAAATCATTTTGCAGGAAGATTTATCGTTTTTAATAGCATTGTCTGTGACATAATGTTTTCTAATTCCATTAACAACTTTCCTTATGAAAAGGGTTTTATATTCTTGAAATATGTTGAGACTTGTTACACAGACTGTCAGAAAGACCAACTTCAATATGATTATTTAATAAGAATTTAATAACACCACATTATTTTGCCCTTTCAGTACAGTTTCATTCAGTTTGATAATTTTATCTCACAGATGGCTAAATGTGGATTCAGTCGTCAAATACTTGAAATAATGAACAGCTCGGGGTAAGATGTTTTCAAGGTTGATGTACAGTGTAAGGGTAGTCTGTTTCAAAACCTGTAGTTGATATTGAGACATTGATATTTATAAAGAATACGTTGTAATGTCTTTATCACATTATTTTTGTGTTCGATTTTATTTAAGCCAGTTGCAAATCAGTGATTAAAAACAGACAGATCACTTATTTTAATGTTGTGCCAAGATAAAAAAAAACTATCATGTATATGTATTTAGGAGAATAATGTCAATAACGTTTGCTTGGAAATGTTATATTTTGGTAAGCAGTGAGTTTTTTAGAAGAATCATCTTACTAGCAGCAAAGTGTAGAACCACTCATCTTACAGTTGGTAAACAGAATAAATTGGAGAGGGTCTGAAGAAACACTTGTTGCTGTAACTTTTTTTTTCCTGCAGGGTTGATTATGAGACTTTCGATATACTACAGGATGAAGAGGTAGGTTATGACAAGATAATGTAATGTTGTATTAGCAAAGCATGGTGTTCAGTTGCCAGAAAAATAAATCTTAGAATTATTTTAATTATTTTACATTCTCATTCTTGTGAAAAATAATAAAATGAGTGTTCAAATGTTGTGGATGACATGCTGTGCAGGATTTTTTATGTAATATTTCCTAAAAGCCAAGGTGGTGTGGTGTATTTATTATTTTTATAATTTTACCTGAAAATGCTCAAGGATTTAAAGAATGTGGAAAACTTGAAAAGTTTTAATTTTCACTCACTCTCTTAAAAGAATAGTACATTGCTTATAAGAAAACATTAATATAAAGGTGTTTGAGAAGATCCTGAAATAAATGTATCTTCTTTAATGTGTTTATTAATGTTACATTAAACAATGGATTCTAATATGTGTGTTCTGTTCTCCAATTCTGTGCTTATAGGTTAGACAAGGACTGAAAACATATTCTAACTGGCCAACATATCCTCAACTGTATGTGAAGGGTGAACTTGTTGGTGGACTTGACATTGTGAAGGTAAGTTCCTGATTGTTTTGCATATCCATAAGCTTTTTTTTATTTTTGTTTCTATCTGGTAGCTTGATATCATATACTAATAATGGAAAAAATAGTGGTTGCATTTTGAAGTCTTTCTCTGTACATTCACCTGTAGACTACAGGTGATTTACATCTTAAATTTACATTAATTTCAGAAAGTATAAAAACTGGATTGTCATAATATACATGCAGTGTGTTTTTTTTAATACAATTTGAGTTGGAAAGAGGAGTGATTAAACAGTCAGTATGTTTCCAGATGTCTTAAAGATTTTTGCTAAAATAAGACAAAATTTTCATTTTTATTTTTTAAAATAAGAATATAAGAAAAGATGTAAGAGGGAGTCCATTTTAGTCCATTTTGCTTACTTGGTAATACTATAAATTATTTTCTAGTACTTTTTCTACTTTGACATATAGATGTAATACACGTACCTCATCAGGTTCCATACATTTTTCATTGGTATTTTACTGTATATTAAAGGCATGTCTGGAGATTGCAATGCATACGTTTTTCCACCAGATGGCTCTTAAACACTGTCTAAACAATAAACCCTTGACAGTGTTTTAAGTACAGTTTTTATCGGAGTGCTACAGGTTTATGATCCAAACCTACTCATTAATGTTAATGATTAACTCTTAGATTTTAAAATATGTTAGGACTGATGAGTTTTTTAACTGCAGCATTTAGCAGTATAGGTCAAAACCCTGGACTACAAGGGGTTTTTGACTAAAGTTTGTAATGTTATTATCTTTACTGGACATGTAAAGAGCTTTTAGCTTTCCCAAAATCTCCTTGGTAACCATTTAATGTTCTTGTCTAGTAAACCTTACAAAGAGTGTTTTAAAATTTTCTTTCCACTTTTCCATGAGTGATAATTCCTTAGTGTATCAGAATAAAGTCCTTGAGCAAGCTGCCAAATGGTGTACTTGTTAAATAAATGACTGTCCTAGTAGAACTTGAATTAATTTTCAACATTATTCTTTACAGGAACTTAAAGAAAGTGGGGACCTGCAGTCTGTTTTGAATGGGGAAAGCTAGTAATTGATGACACAGGAAGGGACTCAGACAAGCCTAAGTTTTCTTATATATTATCTGCTGGGGTGATCTATGGAGAATCCATCTACTGTGTATAATTTGCTTTTTTCCAGACATTACAAATATTGAAGAATAAGTATTAAATTACAAATGATGATCACATTGTTTCAATTGCTATAATCAGAATAAAATTGTTTTAAGTGTAATTTTTGATGTTTCAGTTGGTTCTGTGCATTCATTTTACTAAGAAACCTTGACAAGGCATGTGTGCTCTTAGGCTTTGAAGCTTTTTTCCAATGAAATGAAAAACAGGTCAAATTAGTTACAGATCCTATCACGGTAACTAGAACTAGTGTATGTTTTTTTGTATGCATGCAACTGCTGTATGCAAAAAGTGACACATTTGTGCTGAAGCATGTTAGAGGTACATAACATTCCTTAAAAATAAACCACAAATGATATACTGCATTATGTTGGAGAGTGAGCTGTGTTCCATACACAAGTTTGGAGAGTTGGCTATATTCCAAGAGCAGAGCTGCACAATTAGCTGTAAAGAAATGCATCTTCATGGTGTAATGAGCACACCTGTGACTGTTAAATAATTACAGAACTCACACAAATACTCCATCTTTTAGTAATATTTTGTACATGACCATGTTAAATAGCTATCTGTCAGACACATTAAGATATGTAAACCATTGACTCGGGCAATGATTTTTAAGTCTGTTAATTTTAAAGTACATATTCATTTGGTAAAACTTAAAGTAAAAAGACCAACTTGGAAGTTATTTCTTTGACCACAAGGTGGAGGACTGGTTCCTTAAAATTAATTTTAGAAACTGCAATGCATACATGGTGTCTAAATTGCCATTGTGTGTAGGTGTGTGCAAATGCATGACCTCTTGCTTTTTAAAGGTCAATATTTTATTTTTACAACAGATGAGATGTTTAAAATTAAAAATACTAATATGCAATAGTAATTAAAATGCTTTAAAAATAGGGTTATTTAAATATGTAAATGGGTGACTTCTACATAAAATACACATTAAAACACCCATAAGATCTTTAGATATGCATTATACTGCATTGTGAAATGTAACTTAGGAGAGTTAATTTTCTGTTCTTGCCAGTTTTAAAATTGATAAAATGATAGAAAAGTCATAGTGCCCATATTGGCACTACATCCCAAAAGTATAATGTAATACAAGGTTGACCTCAATTGTCTTGGCTATTTGTGCACATATTTGTTTTTATCAACTGTTTCTTAAACATTTTATATACATTCCTTAAACATCTTATATACATTAGCTCTAAGGAGAAGAAGACATGCACTGAAAGAATGGATCAAGGTTGATTGTGAAGAGATCTAAAAGTTTGTTGGTGTTTTACAGGATTTATTTAGTGCTTCAAAACTGTATGTAAGCAGGGTACACAATGTGAATACTAATTTCTTCCTTCCACACTTCCCCATTTTACCAGTTTTAAGTGTTTTAGAGGCTGCTTAATCTGTAATAGAATAATTTAGACCTATAAAGGTTAGTTCTATGTATAATATTCTCTTCCATGGCTTGAGATCAGTGACATACCAGGAACTAGTATATGAAAGCTGTGATTTCTAAATACCTTACCTCTGTCTTTTTAAAAATATTGATAACTGCTTTTTCCTAACAAATACTTATATAGAACCTTTTAAAATCTTTTGCAATTCACTAAAATAACTAAATCATTTACTATAAACTGTCCATCTGATGATTGTGGGTGTTTAAATACATGTATGCCCATCACATTGCTCAGCTGTTACATTAGGTATTCCACTGCATTCATGATTATTAGCAAAGACCTCTGAGAAGAAACATTGGTATGAAGCAACTGTTGTCCAGCAATAGATTTTGGAGCTTACAATTTTTGTTTGTTGACTGAGACAGTACATACACCACCTCACATAAAGCATTCCAGTAAGATGCACATGATAACTAAAAAAGTAATATTTTTTTTTAATTCAGTGTATTTCTGCAGCATGGAGAGCTGTAAAATAAGCATTTATGGAATGTGTGTTTAATATTATGTTTCATGATGGGCTCACAGTGTGTAGAGTGTTAGGAAGCAAATTTACACAGCCATGCAGTGAAGGAATCATCAGTAACAGAAGTGCAGTTTATGATGTATCCAACCATAGGGACTGATTGTCCTTTTCATTTTTACAAATGCAAATAGCTTGTCGAGAGCAGGTGTTGAACTTTGTGTAGAGACCTGTAGAATCGCTTTCACTGTATTATGAAAATAAGTTGCTTATTTTGCACTTGGGCAGAATTATTATACATTGTGACATCCTTTTTACGGTATGTAGATTTCTTGTTGTATTTGAAAGGGCCGTGATATCTCCTTCTCATGTACCATTTTATAAGATATGCACTTCATTGGTATGATTTATGTTATATTTTTCTTTTCCTGTCTTGATTTCTTGATGGTTTTGTATAATGTACACCAGATATTATAGATACAAATAAAAAATTTACCTGGGCAGTCATTAAAAATAATCTTGAGTCACCCACACAGGCTCATTAAGAGGTTAAAGGTAATATTCCTCTACCTGTTAAAGGAAAAATAACACCAGAAGCCTTGAACACATTGTATTAATAACGACTGTTCTAATTTCTAAAACAGAACCCTTTATCTCAGAATTGAATTGACCTCAGGCTATTGCTCACAGTGAATAGTTGTAAGCAAGTCTTGATTTGAATTTTTGGAATCACATTTGCTGGAGCTGTTATTCATTTATTTAATCTGTTGCATAGTATGGAAATAGTTCTTAAAACTATGTCTTCATTGAATGTGAGAGTACATAAACCTGAATTATGTTGTGGGGGGTGATACCTGTCAATTATATACCCTTGCAGCACTGAGCCTCTTTTCTTGTGTTGTCCTCTTTATGCATTATACTGCAGTATGAAACATATCACCTTAAACTAAAGATAAATCATCTTAAGAACAAATGTCTTATTTTGTCATTTTCTTCTATTTTATAGACTTTTTAAATTATTTAAAACACAAACCCATGGTGTCATGTCATATTAATCCCTACACGATACTGTTATAGAAGGCTGGCCTAAAGAATTGTGGCTATTTGTGCCCTGAGACCAATTTTTCCTTCACTCCAAAAAACAGAATCTGCTTTAGCTATAAAAAGAGAAAAGGATGCAGAATTAATCAAGGTTGATTGTGAGGAGGCATCTGTAAATTCACTGGTGTTTCACATTTCTTCAAGTACAATAAGTGAAGTACAAATATGTGATGATAGAGAAAAAAATATATAGTTATTTTATATTAGCTTTACCCTTCACCTTAATTAAATTCTACACATATTAAGAAATTGCTGTCCTTGCTGGTGGTACCTTTAAATTTATTTTCCTTTTCTATGCTTCAGTGTTCATATTTTATCTTGTAGGTTTCTTTTTGTTCAGGGAAAACCAACTGTTTAACACTCAAGAAACGGGGAGGTGGTTTATGTGTGTAGATGTATTGCATTCATTGTCCTTCTCAAGCCCTGTCAGAGTAATTGATATTCTATACCTAGAACTTGGTATCAGCTGTAACTCTTAGATCAGGAAGAATTAGCAGCATTATCTCATCAGTGTGTGATAAAAATGGAAAGCAATTACAAACTCATACTGCATTTGAGTGCATTTTCTCTCACTGGATTGGTCACTTCTCCAGCCCCTCCAGGCCAATTTTCTTGTTTCCCAATTATTCCTCCCTAATTAGGCTATGCTGTAGTGTTGTATCTGGTGCTATCAGACATCTCCTTGTACATCTGGATATTCCGCCCCACAAGGATTTTAAAATGTAGATGTGGATCAGTGAATCTATCTCTAGTGTTGAATCTAAGCTAAAAACGTACTGGAAACAGATATACTTAATTGCCTTTTAATACACTGAGTCAGTTCAGGACTCAAATTAAAAATATTTGTTCAGAAGATTTTAATGTCACAGCAAAACCATAAACATCTTTTGTTACACAAATCTTTTAGTCTTATATATAAAGGATTCATCTGGAAATTTAGACACCTAGTTTAGGGATAACTAAAAGACCATGAAATGTCTGCATTTCTAAATGTTCTTTTAAAATGTTATATGATTTCTATAAATACAAATACATGAACTGAACTCCCCTTCACTGTCTGACAGAGGCCTTTGTTCATTTTCTAAAGAAGACAATCATGTCTTTTACAATAACCTTGCAATGTCCTTGCTCGGAGTGTGTTTTGTCAGTGTCATTAAAACTGTTTCCAAGATGAAGTGTGATTTTATATTCTTCTAGCAATAAAAACAAGAAAATGCCACAATCTAAAGTAAATGGTCAAACAAGGAAATAGCTGAACTGTTATCAACAACAGTTTTCCATCTAGTCTTTCAACTTGGTTTAACCTTTGCAAAACACAGGCAAGGTCATATTTAGATGTGCACTGCAACAGATGCAGCAATTTTGTGTGTTCTTATGGGTTTTGAAAGAGCAATACTTTAGTTTCTACAATTTCAGGAGAAAAGTTATTTTTTAAGGAAGCTTCAACTTATAGAGGGTGCTTTCAACACTTATAATATCAAATTTAGGAAAAAAATGACTGAATGGTACAGTGATGATAAGGAGAATTCTAACTAATGGTTGTAGTATGATATCATAACTCAGTGTAGATACCTCTTTGATGTCTTTGGCTTTAGACCACTGACTTGTTGATCAAATATTATGCCATCAGTTGAAACAAATGAAATCTAAATATAAAGTTTAGATATTCACCTTGGCTGAACTCTAATTCTGATACTTAGTGGTACAGAGAAAATAATTTAACAAATGTAACATTGTTTCCTTATGTTTTCAACATGGTGTTACTATAAGTCCAAAGGTCTTGAATTAATTGTCTATCTTAACTCAGTTTGGTTTTTATCTTAAAAGAAATCAATTCATTATAAAAAAACATTGAAGTACAGGAGTGCTAAAAATATCTGGCATTTGCCAGTAGCTTTTATGTCCACAGAGTAACAAGACAAAGACTACAGTGAAATGGAGCAGTAATTACCGGATGATAAAGTTCTGTGCCGTAATTGGTTAGATTATTCACTGAGGGTGAAGGTGTGAAGTTCTGAAACAGGGAGGCAGCTCACTGTACTGACTGCACATTGTGTGCTACCCAGGAGAGAAAGAAAGTTAACAATGAGTCTTTTTGCTGTTATTTTAAAGATTTGATAATCTAAAGAACTCTTCATATCAAATATACTGTATAGCAGATAGTAATAATGAAATATTTAATGCAGGACCACACAATGTATGATTAAATATAATTAAAGAACATGTGATGATGTAATAATTTAATTCAATGTTTTCCTTTAGAAAATAAATAGTAAATAGATTACATGGACAGTTTGATGATATTTATTAACCCATGTTTTAATTATCATTTTTAGTATTTGGTAAT